GAAGCTGTTCATCATGGTGTGACTAGCTAAATCATCCTCTTATCTGCTTTTCATTTCTTGATATATAAGTCGATTCTGCATTTATCATTTCACATGGTTAGCAGTTGTGCTGGTGTTTTCAGATGATTTCTGTTGCTTCCTCACTTTGTTCCTGTGTACGAGTTTTGCATTTCTTCTTGTGTAAATGACGCGATATAATGACCCTCTACTTGTTGGCTTCAACAGGAGGGTATGGCACAAGGAAGATGAACTAAGGAATAAGAGATTTGTTCATGTCCTGTTGTTTAGTTTTATGCACGTCTTGCTTCCCCGCAGTCTATAGGCCTTGCTCCATACCATACGCATTGGTAAGAAATCAACTCCAGGGAATAACAGACCCATTCTCTAATACAAATTTTTTTTTTTTTTTCTGAAAATCCAAATGGGCAAAATTAATAAACGAGGCCCAAGCCTAATAGCAAGTTTATCTGCCCAAGCCCAATAATACTTGAACTTCCAAATTTGCAAAAATTATGTATTAAATGACCAATTTAACCATTACTATATTTAGAAATAACCAGGTATGCCACTATAGCTGTCGCCTTGTATTCGAATATACGTACGTAAAAGATTCATTTAAACAATTTCAGAGACAATTCACTTATTTTAAAGATTTTGACTCTTTCCTTTTTCCATTTTTTTTTAAGTTTCATAAAAAAAAAAAATCTACCATGAAAATAGTGTAATATCAGAAAAAACTCCCATGGGCAATGGGCCCATTGGTGGGCCGCAGCCCAAGCCAGAGTTCATTTTCCCTGACGTATAGCAAGGGTCGTAACTCGTAAGTTATTTTGGTACATCCTGGGAAAGAGCGCGAAAAGAGGCAGGGAGAGGAGAGCAGAGGAGAGCGGAATGGCGGAGGGTTTTAGTGTTGCTGCCGGCCGTGTTTCAGTCAGAGAGGATCCGATCGAGCGAGAGAAGAAGAAACTGAGGAAGGGATAATAGGGAGAGGAGAGAGACAGGAAAGATCGGATGAATAGAAGAGAAAAGTGGAAGAAGATGTGAGGGAAGACACGGTGGATATCGCCGGAGAATGTGGAGCGGATGAATTAAAGAGGAGATTGGAAGAAGATGCAAGTGGAGAATGTAAATCTCTCTGGAGGTGGTGCCTCTGAGGTGTAAAAGAAGGTGCGACCGACGACTTCCGTTCTCACTCTCTCTCTTTCTCTCTCATATTTATCTTCCAGTGCACACGCCTATGTTTTGGTTTATGCACAGTTAAACATAGGAGCTGACTAATTATCAGAATCTTGTATGGATATGGTTATGGTTTTATTTATTATTTGTTGTATTTTCTCTCAAATTTATTTATGCTTTCTTGTTTCCTTTTATGGATTCCATAGCTGAGACAGAAAACATCGGATGAATTGAAGAGAAAAATGGAAGAAGATGCGGGAAAAGACGATGGATCTGGCCGGAGAAGGTTGAGCGAATGACTTGAAAGACAAGAGTGAAAGAAGATGCAAGCGAAGAATGTAAATCTCGCCGGCGGTCGTGCTGCCCGAAGACTTTCGTACACTCTTCCTTTCTTTGCATTACTTTGTGACTTCTATGTTTTATGGTTAGGGTTTTATTATTGTTTTCTTAATCGTATTTTCTCAAATCTGTTTATGATTTCCGATTTAGTATTTCCTTTATGGATACCTTCTCCTCCTCCAATCTTTGCTTTCTGATTTCTGCGTTTTCAATGATGTTTGTCCCTCTTTGATCTACTCTCCTTCTCTTGCCCATTCTCTGAAGGATTCCGGTTAGTTCCAGTGTAGTGGCCACCTAGTGTCCACACTGTCCCCTCCGTTTTCATTCATATCTAGTGGTTTATACGCCTGAGTGATTTTGTTTTTGTTTTATTTAAATTTTTTACGCGGTTATGCATAGGGGCTGAGGATGCGATTAGCAACATTTCATGTTCCTGTTTAGGATTTTTTTTTTATTTTTAATTTCTTGTTTTCTAAGTTTGGTTTGATTATTACATGTGTTTTAAGTTTTTTTCTGGATCTTAAGTAATCGGTAACTGAATCGAGTGACTGGTTTTCTAAGCATCAGGGTGGTGGTCGTCTGGGAAATTGAATTTTTAGAACAATCCTAGGAATCTGCAATATTTTTTTTGTGGGACAAAGTTCAAATTGTGCTGCCACTGCGGCAAATCTACCATTTTGTTTATCTAATATCTATATTCCTAGAATTCATGCTACGTCTTGTGCATTGGTTGAGATAATGGTTCTAACTGTGGGCATCAAGGTGGATGGTTGGGTTGCTAGGGGGAATTAGATATTTGTAAGGATGCTGCTAGGTTATTTTATGTGAAAAATTTCACGTTTGTACTACCACTATAGTAAATTTGCAATTTTGTTTTTTATTTCAAATTCAAATGGAGAATGTTCCTGTGTAAATTCATATAAGTTTATGCAATAGCTTTTGCATTTTTTGCGTCTTATGCTCCTTTTCCTCACGCACAGAGGTTATAAAGCTATGAGACTTTAATTAGTTTTTATCTTTCAGGAACCATGCCCATCCTGCCTCCTAGACACCTGTGCTTATTTGTTCTGTGTATAATCAATTGCACGTGTTTCATTATGCATGATGCAAATGGAAAACATACCTATGTAACTAAGTGCATGTGAATGAAGCTCCCTACGTTTTTTATGCACTAGACAAATGATGGGATCACGATTTGAACAGATAGAATTTTGATGTTGAAAGGGTCTGTTGTGCATGATTCTAGAAGCAATCCTTTACACATATCTTGCATGATGGTGGCATTGCATAACTACTGCAGAGAATTAATTCAATCTCATGTTCTAGAATAGTGTTTTCTTTTCCAATTAAAGAGAGGGAGAGGAAAATTCATATGCTTGTGCTTTTTTGTTACAGATTTGGAATCTGAATGCTGGCATTCTCCTGAGGCAAATGTGTTTGAGGACAGACAGATTGAACTGGGCTCTGTAAGAGGTAGAAAACTTAAAGTGTCATACCTTGTAAAAATCTACATCCATTGTTTGGTGGGTTTTACTCAATTTCATATCCCCGTAACAAAAAAAACCTGCACACATGCACTTACACACATGAACAAAACAATCATTTCCCTTTGCATGACATGAAACATGATGCTAAAGTACACCTAAGCATTCTTTCCAAATTATCATCATCATTGTCATTATTATGATTATGGACAATGCTTTCTTGGATTAAGTTTCTGCATCATAGTCAGTTCTGGATTATATGATCTTCCTGTTGCATTGGGGCACATACTTTGATTTGTTAAAAATTGTAAAGATCTTGCCACTGCTTGCTTGTTACACTTTCCTTTCTTTTTTTTTTTGTACATTAGATGATGGGTTAGATAATAAGGGATAGCCCTCCCCTTTTCTTAATTCCTTCCCACCCATCTTAAAATTCAAACTCTAGATCTCTAACTTAGAATTTCAAGTTCTTAACCACTTAAGAGATCCCCTTGAGAGCGGTTGTTACCTGATGATAAATGAGTTACCCAACGTGCTTTTTTTACTGTTATTCGTTTTATGTTGTCAAATGTCTACCTATCATGGATGCTTGTTAATAATCAAATGGTTTACAGTAATTTTTTCTTGGTTTTGTACTTAATTGTTTTTTTAGATTTTATTTTGGCCAACAACTTTGTTTTAGATTTCTTATTCGTTGATTTTCTCCACGTATTAGTATTTTGAAAAGCTGAAATATGAACCGAATTTCCCTAAGCCGAACTTCTTAATTTCTTTTTATAGTAAACTGGAACTGCTATTGTTCGTATATGTTTGATGAGAATCATATTTTATAGAATCATTGGATAGTCTCATTCAATGATTAATATTGTACAATTCAGTATAATTTGGATTATAGAACACTTTTTCCGTGTTTGGTGTTTGATTGCTTGACAAGTGTTTGATTTTTATAGCTTGCTTGGCACTCAGTTGGGAGTTCAATTCCACCTATAGCATTTGAAATTTTTTGCTTCTTCTCCATGCAATTGCCCTGGTTCCAAAAAAAAAAAAAAGGAAGTGACTTGGTCCAAATTTTTTATTGTTATCCTGGTTCCATGAAATTCATCGTGATTGGATTAATCGGCTTGTGGACAATTTCCTGATGTTTCCAACAGCTAATAAAATTGCGGCAGGCCTTACATTACAATTAATTACCTTGAATTTCTTTTCTGATCTGTACTTTGATTGTGTTCCTCAATCCTCATCTCATAAATAAATATTTAATTATCCTTTCGATATTCATATGAACGAGTATCGGTTGGTGACAAATGAATACTTTCTTTGCTAACTTGGCGGGCCTACCATATTTATCTTTAGCGGAGTCGTTTTCTGAAAAAATTCAATGGCTCCAATGAGCCCCTAAGATCTCCAATTACTCATGGGTTCCCACCGTTGATTTGCCTGAAGACTCAAAGGAAGATAGCAAAAGAAAACATTAACTGGGGCCGATGGTCCAGAAGTGGCTTTACGTGGGGCCTGAAGGCCCATAATTGTTTATCAATTCTCTTGATTTTACCCCTTTGGACGGAAAATCGAATCATGGGTTGGGCCTCATGTAAATTTACCATTTATTGGGCTCGACGGTCCACAAGTGGGTGCATATTGGGCCCGAAGGCCCAAAATTGGTCATAAGTTGGGCCTCCTGTCTGAACTACTAAAGCCCATAAAAGATTTTGGATTAGCCTCCTGAAGGCACATTCGACTAATGCCTCATGGATGGCATTACGGGTCCTATAAGAACATGAATTTCACTCAGCTAAATGAAACTAAAAAATTATTCATGTTTACCAAGATTCTATGGATTAGTAGTTGACTGAAATTACTCTAGTTAGCATCACATTTCGGTAATCGGGATGATTATAAGCAATTAAAGATAAATACAAGCATATGTATAGCCAGATTACTACTGCAAAAATCTTCCAGAATTACTCAGTTGCCTTTCTCTTCCACAGGGCAGCTTCCAAAGATCATTTAACGTGGCAAGGGCAGACTGCCTTGACATAAAACAATGCTATTAACCCCTCAGAAGATGCAATTGATGTGGAAAAAGATCTCTTTTACTCAAAACCCTACAATCACTCAACCATAATCCATGTACCAAAAAAAACCTAAACCATAATCCGATAATAGCTTTGTAAAATAAATATACTAAACAATAATATGAGACAGAATATGGTAGGTAAAACCAAAAAGGATGAAGGTGGTCCTTCAAGACCACTGTAATAAAAAATTTCGTCTTCTAGGAAGCACAGAAACATCTAGATGGATTGTGAAAGTGAAGGCACAGAGACTGACATGAAAAAACTAATTAAATGGAAGCAAAAATGTATAAACAAACCACCATCAAGCCCATATTTCACCAAAACTGGGCAAATTTTTCTTTTCTGAAATCTCTCAAAATAAAAGGAAAATAACCATAAAGAGATAAATGTGAAGGTTGGATGTTGATATGCCGAGTTAATAATGAGAAAATCTCCAAATACCAAACATCTAAACCAAGGAATCATAGAGATTACTACCATATAAAAAAAAATCTCCACAGTTCTAAAATAACTACATTTTTTCTCTATTATCACTCTTCTCAGAGTTCAACCAGTAATTCTTCCTCTATTATCACTCCTACTCAGAGTTTAACTAGCAAATTTAAGCAGCAGAATTAGTGGAAACAGTGCATTATAGCATGTTTGTCAAAGCATACTAGGTCAATAAGAACAATTCAATCTAATGAGAATTTTTCAATTAGTCAAGAAATTCCTGGGTAGACAACCAATATAATTAATGCTGTTAAAACGAGGTTGAAAGGGTAAGACAATGATCTATACTTGAAAGCCACTGTAGGGTAGCAAGTCATGTTAAACATAAACTTATTAAAAATTAACAACATTACATTTCTCCTACCAACTCAACGTGATGGTATCACACCAATATATTTGAGCCACTCAGCTAAGATACTCATACAATATACGATGTTTAGCTTATATCATAAAATAAATTCACTTCCATGAAACTAACTTTTTCTTTTCCGTCGCTTTTTTCTGCCCATCCTCTCAAACATGATGATTTCCATTGAAAGCAAGTTTTCTAATAAATTATGGACTGTTTTATATGTACAAAACAGACTTTGCTCAAAATAAAACATGAATTTGCAATGGAACTAAAATTCAATGACATGCAACTTACCAGAGGATCAGGGATTATCAACAGTATGTAAGAATATAAACATCATCAGCTCATAAGTGCTGTTTCCATTGCAACAAGCTAAAAGCAGATTAAAGGCTCTGCTTCTCTGGCCCATGCAAAGTACATCAACAATTTAAGCCTGCAAAGACTTTGTAATTGATTCTTCTTCTCCACATTCCAAATAGAGAACCTACATTCAAAATTCAAAAAGACTAACTTATCATTTCATCAAAATATAGAATCAAGTGTTGCTCTGAATTCCCTAACCCTACTAGACAGACTTGAATCTTTGCAAGAATCCCTCCCTAAGTGTGCATAGGGAGGGATTGAATGGCATAATGTAATTTGCATGACTAAGGCATCTATTTAATTCAAAAGATAGGATCACACATCTATTCTGATAGGCAGGAAAGAATTAAATGGCAGTTTATGAGAAAATGTTAAAACTGGTGTGACCTGAGAAGGTTTTTTTTAAAAGGACAGTGTCATCTACAATTCTACGCAGTAAGAAAAAAAAAGGCTTATATTAGATATACTTGACAGAAAAATACCATACCGTAACCTCATCACAAAAAAGGAACAATGAGTTCTAAAATGGTAATATCTAAGCATGCCACTGATAGAAGCAGGCAAACAAGCAACATCATAGTTCATAGATCAGAACAGATGATTAACGACAATTTTACAATTAGGAAAAATTTTCTTTTTGCTAATTAGTTCCATTTTCCTTTGTCGAAAGATATACTTAACAAGTAGGAAATTAGATATCATCAATCACTGAGGTTAATGAAAAACTGACGAGAAACAACACTACAATACTGGAGATAGGGTTCGTCCATGAGATACATAGATTATATATAGAATTAAAAATCAAACAGAAAATTAGGGTTCATCCATATGCAGAGAATCTAACAAAACCTAACAAGCCAACAAGGAAAATTAATGAAATTAAGATGCATGTCGAACGATTTTGATTCAAGAAACCTCACTCTGTGTGTGGATAACAAACGATTAGTAGATCACCAAAGAATTGAGGTCCGTTATCGCCGGAGAATTGAGGTAAAACAAAAGTACATCACCAGAGATAGGATTCGTAGAGCACCGGAGATAGAATTCGATCAAACATCGCCGGATACACCGACAATCCTCCAAAAATGAATCAAGATGCAATTTCGAGGGATTTTATTCAATTAATTCATCGTAAATCGTTCATTTCCCTAACTTGCCAAACAACCAACTGTAGAATGATGAGATTATCAACATTAATTTAAATCCAACCATATTTAATTAATTAAATGACAAAAAAAAGGTGAAGAGAAGAAGAAAATCACTGGTGCGGACGCAATTTGTCATTCATCATCTGCACCTACATCTCCACGCCTTAAATCCTGCATCAACTTCCGAAAAATCTCCGACGCTGCTCGTCGGCTACATTGAAAGCCAGAGACAACGTCAATCCGACGCATCGGCGTCCGATTCAACAAACAAAGAACAAGGGAGAGAAAAAGAACAGAAAATCGGGCGATCAAGTTCTGATTAACTCACTGTTGCTCGCGGTAATGAGTTCCTCTACCTCTGTGATTCGAGTGTTGAATGAAGATATCAGAAAACCGTCTTGTTTCGCGTCCATCTCCTCTGATCTCTCGATCTCGAGGGAAATCAAAATTTTGGAGGGGAAATGGGAATTTTGTAACACCCAGTCCAGTCCGGTCCGGGCTTTTTTACAGCCTAGTTTCCAGAGAACTTCCAGAAAAATTGAAGATTGGGCTTTGTTGGCCCAAGATGAAGGCCTTTAGTATAGTGTCCAAGGACTAAGGCTAGAAGTGGTGATCTATTTCAAAAAATCAATATTGCAGACCCAATTGAGACCCAATCGAAGCTTCGGAGTTTGGCCCATAAACATGCTCTGCAAGTCTGGATATACCCGGCAGCATGCGGTTTGCTACTGCTTGGGATGCGCTACTACTTTGAAATCTAT